TCTCTCCGTTCGGCTCGTCCCATACGACCACGGGCTGTGCACTGTATCCGTCCCACCACTTGGACCCTCCGGACTTGCTATAGACATGTTCATCACAGCTAGCTCCAGTTCCGTATAGGGCCGCAGGTTCTCTGGCGAGCCTTGACTTGCCAATGCCAGGCGGACCATACAGCCACCACACAACTGTTTTGTAACTTCTGCGGGGTGATAGGATTGCACCAAGTTCCTTAACGCCTAAAACACAAACCAGATGTTTCCACACACATCTCGTGCCGAAGCCGAGGGAGCGAAGCGAAGCGGAGTGACCGTATGGTACTTGCCGCACCATTAGTATGCCATGCATCTCACCTCTGTGAAATTTAATGAAGGTTGTAGGGTGCTCTTCCGCGATGCGGGCCAACGACGTTCCCGCCTTCGTCTTCTCTGCGACCTCTTGGAGGTCCGTTCGTCTCCCCTGTCCCCCCGAAAAAGTCTTTTGATCGATGTTACTGACCGGTCCAGCCACTCTAGTTTCCTCCTTTCGGCAATAAGCTTCCGCTTTGCTGACATTAAAGCACTTTTCGATATGTCCTCGTTCACTTCCGAATAGAGCCTTTGCTCGTCCGAAGTCCACGGATGTGGAGAAGCGTAGAAACGCTTGTAAGTGAGTCGTTCTGGACTCGCCCTTCTCGAATTGACCGGTGTATTGCACACCGCCGCCTGTGAAGAGTTGCTCATAGTGACATAGCCCGAATCCGGTGTTGTTGAGCGTAACAATGAAGTTCCTTGACCGTGTACGTTTGTTCTTCCGAAGACTGACATTGCTCATACAGTAACTATAACGTAGACCAGTATTAAGTATAAGTGGCGGTAGGTGGCACGAAGTGCCCTAGTATTAAACATCCAAAAATTGAAACAGGAAAAAAGCTTTTCAGAAGTCCTTGATCTTCTTGCTTCTCCAGGATGCATGATCGTCGTTGCTAGAACAAATCAAAAATTTTCTGCGTTGACAGTCGTGAAACAAGTTCTGGAAATTAACAAAACAGCTTTGACCAGTCATTCAGCTTTTTTAAAAATAAATGTCAAAATCAAATTTTGATTTCGTCGAGATGGTATTTTGAAAATTCAATTTTGTTTTCACTAAAATACCTGATTTTGATTGACGATCACAAAATTTATAATAGTTGCATTAATCAAATCTGGATTTCCCTAATTTTTTTTTATTTTCTCAAGTTGAACCTGCAATTCCTTGCTTTAATTTGTCTAAATTTCACTACATTGCTTTTAACAAGAGAAGCTGTATTCAGAACTTCACATACTCAAAGGTTTTTCAACGTTTAGAAAAAAGTATGCTAATCTCTGTTTTTTTTTCATGTATAGATTTTTTAAACTAAGTAACTAAAAAATAAAAACGCTTGCATTAAATATCAATAATGATCAATGAGAAACCTTTGCAAAAAAAACATTTTTTAAACTTGAAAACTTCAAACAGCATAATCACATTTTTGAAAACTGAGAAAAAGTAAGTGTCCATCGTAGAGTTAAAAAAAGAAATCAGCAAGTGTACTTTTTCACAGTCAGTTTTTATAGCAAAAAATGTTAACATATTAATTTCAGATTTGTAAAAATTCAACTGTCTTTAGTTATATAGAAAAAGGATTTTTGTTCACAAATGCAAAACAATACACAAAAATAACGACCAACTGATTGTTGTAATGATGTTTTAAACTAAAAGCAAAAAAATTAAAATTGTGACCTGAGAATAAAATAACTTTTTAAGTCATAAGATAATTTTCAAAGACAAGAATGAACTTTTTTCGACTACTCATTTACAACAAGTACGTGTCGGTATGTTATCTGCGTGTCGGTATGTTATCTGATTCAAATGGGTCTTTACGAGTCGGTATGTTATCTGATTCAAATGAGTCCGATTCGAAAAATGTTTGGACCTCGCAAAGCCCCCAGTCCAAGGAAACGTTCGGCTAAGCATTTTTCGAAGGCCCTCAATTCATTCAGTTATTACTTCTGTGTTAATTGTTTGTTGAATAATGCTGCGGATGAACACAGGAATACCACACTCCAAAAACTTTTGCTGCACTGTCATTAGGCAGTTGAAGGCCATGCAGGATAGAATTTAGCTGGTTCCTGTATCCGTTTAGGATGTGAAATATCATTGCCACCAATCATCAAAATAACTAAATCCGGCTTCAAAGACCTCAGACTCGAAGAAAAATCTCCTATTTTTGATTAGTTGACCTTTTTCTGCGACAAAAACAATTTTGTGAGCATGATTAATTTTAGTTCCTAACTGCTGCTTGCATTCGAGAAACGTGACTATCCCCATAGACAACAATCCTGAATAAAAAATGACTCCATTTTTCGAGATGGATAAACATTAAAAGAATAAATTATTAAAAGAATGTATTAAAAGAATAAACAATTGTACGTAATCAAACTGTTCATTTTGACCACTACGCACACAAAAGACCTGAAAAACAACTTTTTATATAAACTAGTGTTATTGCAAGCCATACATGAAAAATTTAGTTTTAATTTTAAATTTAGATAAAAATATGACAAAGGGAGCAACAGACTTTGATGAGTGAATAGAAAACTAAAACAAAACAAACAAACAGACAAACATCAAAAACTAAAAAACAAAACATAAAGTTCAAATGAAACTTATCATCGTAGAATCAGGTTTGAAGACGGTGATGTCGGGACATATTTTTGTTCGCCTCCCAAAAAAATTGCTTATTTGTTTAAGTTGAATACAAAAACTCGATTTAGGACAATAAACATGTTTGACAGCGAGTAAAGTTTCGTATCGTTACAATTTAATGCTTAATAAGAATTGTGTTTTTGTGTGCTTATTTTAACTGAACAAAATGAATTATTGATCTCAAAAATAAATTGGGTTGAAAATACCATGGGCGTAAAGGACGGGGAAACTTTTGAAGATAAACTAGAAATCAAAAGCCAATTGTTTTTCATTTGAGGCTGACAAAAAATTTAAAATAATTTTAATTTATTTTGGAAAAACTGGATTCCAAATTACTTGTTGTTGAATAAATGAAAATTAAAGCAGGAGTTACAGTTGTTTATACTTTAATTTTCAATTCGAAGTCAATTTATACAAATTCATTTAGGTTTTTCAGACGATGATGGTGATGGCATGTCATCAAAAAGACAGTGATGATATTTTATGAAAACGAAAATTTGATCTGAATTTTACTACGTTTTTAAAAAATTGGAAAAAGGAAAATTTAAGCATATGTAAAATTATGGAATTCAGTGCTTTAATTATTCTTCATTTTCATAATAAGTTTTGAATGATGCACTAAACTGAAAGCTACTATTTCATCAAAAAATCACTTAGTGTTTTTTCCAAGTAGCATCTTGCAAAAGTTACGACATTAGGAAATTATCTTCACTTTGGAGAGCTCATGAGTTAACCTTGCATTCATCCAAGAAGTAAAATTAGTGTTTTTTGCAGAAACCTCACAATCTGATTTGAAATTTTTTTGAGCTAGTTCTTTGAACATATTCAAACATTGCTTTAAGTTTATTTCACTCACTAAGAGATTTTTGATTGGAAATGAAAAAGTTGTGCGGATGATCACTCTGATATGCAATTTACGAAAATGACAAAATTCGCAGATGGTTTTGTAATTCATATTTATTGAAAATTTGAATATTAGGAAAATTCCAAAAAGTTGTTTTCAATAAGATACACACAAGATCTGTTGAAATTTCAATATGCTAAACTTCGCTGGATCATTTTTAATTTGCTGGTGCATTTTTTTGCTCTTGAGAAAAAATTCATTTTCAATCATTCGTTTTGTATATTAGGAGAAAAATTGATTTCTTAGCGAAACCATGCAATTTTTGCTATTTTTTTTGTTGGTTTTGAGAAATATGGAAAGAACATTAAAAATTTATAGAGGAATTCATAATTTGGACAAACAATTTCCATCAAGATTTTTTCCCGAACTTATGTAAACAGCAGTCTCTCGACAACACCAACAACAACAAAAAAAAGAAGCAACAACAATATTGACACGACAACAACAAAAACAATGAAGTTAATAAGAAAAACGTCCAAGCAACATCAATAATGACAACAACAACAAAAGAAACATCAACAATTTACATCATAATTTACAATATGATACTTGAATGGCCCGATTTGAAACACTCAAATTATTTTGAAAAAAAAAAACAATATCGAAAAATTGACTATATTAGGCGTTTGGTTTGCAAACACGTTTTTGACCACAACAAAAGTTCATAACTCCTGAATTACTGAAGACAAAAATTGAATATTTTTGCATCAGAACAAGCATTTCAAGGGTGTTTCTGAGGTAATTGATAAATTTATCCAGTCAGCATATGATTTTTTGGCTAATCATAACATGACAACACCGTTCATAAAAAAACATGACAACACCGTTCACTTGGCACGTGTAATAGTCAATTTTTTTAGCCACCTATTTGTGACATAGCCAGTATTGATCTACAACGCCCAAAAAGAAAAACCTTGTACATATCATAGTAGAAACTGGCTTAAACGAATCGAAGTAATAGAACTGTGAGCATTATACAATTTGTTGACAGGTGGCTTGAAAAATTTGAAATGTTCAAGATTTTCGAACATTGTTGGCCGAGCAGTCGTCATTAGTGAAATATCTATGCTTCCAGCGAGGTTAATTTAAGTGAACTTTAAGCCCAAACATACTAATCTTCGAATTTATTAATAGCCCAATCTCAGTCAAACATTAGCTGAGCTAAGTTCGTCTGCTTACCTTCCGAAAGTTGGACAGAATTCGAGTCTCAATTAAGATGCGAAGAAGAAGTAGCGAAGGATAGCAACACCCAGACAAGTGGCTTTTTTCAATTAAAGTTGCAAAGACAACCTCCACTATTTTTGAAGCTCTTCGAAGTCATCTAAAACAATTTTTGACTTAGCTCTTGCCGCCCTCCGAACTTATTTTTGTAACCCGAACTTAACGGAATATATGATGGAATTGGAGTACGTAAAGTTTAGCCTGAAAACAATGAAGCCGGACGCATTTCATGTCAAGCTTCATTTTCTCTCGAAACGTGCAATTTATAATCCAATCCCTCTACCTGTCGCTCCAGCCGGAACTGGCGAGGCAGATAGAGTATCTCGAGAAAATAAGGCTAATGCAGAAACAGATCAAGAGCGCAACAACTTTGTGAAACGAATGAATAAAAGACCAATGCCAAAGTGGATTCGGATTAAGCTCTTAGAGCAGCCGGCAAACGCCACTCTTAATGACGCATTGCGCATATCGGCAGATCACTTTCTATTTTTCAACAACATGAGATCAGCAGACGACATAACTAGCGACGGCCTAATTGAGGTCCAGGCTGATGTAACAGAATACCTAGTCAGCGCACTGTCAGAAATAAACAGGACGCAGAAGCAAATGCAAGAGCATATGAGCGAGATGACAAAAGGTTTTTTTTATCAAGGAAAGGAGAGAGACCAGAAACAGCAACGTTCTGGAAGCCGCAACGAAAATCAGAACTTCCGGCCGAGACAACCAAAGAAGGGAAATTTGAGACCAGGAGGACCTCAGCCTCAACTATTTTGAAATTATCCACCTCCTGGATAATTCCCGAACTACAGAAACTTAAATCAAGCATCATATGCTGGACAATTCAACCAGTGGGTACTGAATCCTTCGGTATATAATCCAGCGTTTCTTGAACCACTTTTCTAAAACCAGAACCCCCAAACCTAAGTATGACGCAGCCCCAAGTTCCTTCAAACACAGGAGCCCAACGATTTCCCACGAATATGAGAAAATGTCATCGGTTTGGATTATTGGGCCACCTTCAAAATTTTTGTCACCTCCCAGCCAAATCGCGGAGGTCAAATGCCCTATAATGAGTCGTCAAACACGCGGCACCACAGAGACACTAGTAATATAAGTAACACTAATAGATATTATACTAGTAATTTAAAAAAGCGAAAAATAGACAGCATAACAAAAAGCCTGGCAAAAACATAAATCGAAACACGATGAAACCACTATTTGAGCAATTAGCCAACCAGCAAATGACTTTTTGCACAATTATTCTTCTAGAAGGGGATTTTTATATGATACGTGCCAATTTGTTTTTCGCTCAACATTAAACGCAAGGCACTAGTCGATAACGCAGCAAGTGTTAGCTCCTCGCCTGGTGAATTGTTGAATAAAGTAAATTTACTTCTGCTAAGCTCGTTTCAGGCGAGGCAGTGCTAGTTCGGTATCAACCTAAAATATAAATTTTGATACGATCTTATAATTATGCTGAAACATTTTTCGTGATGCCTAAAATGAACATGGTCCATGTTGACTTGGTCCAATTGAACGATAAGTCCAATTGAACGAGACTCGCCCATCCCTACCAACGTTTCGAACAACAAACAGGTCCTTGCGTAATGTCGTCAATCGTAAATTTTAATAGCCGAAAATTGGCCAGTTTATGCATCCTAAACTCCCTTGATACGCCGCTAACAATTCTCACCAAAACACGCAAGTCCTAATTTTAGCCTAGAATCACCGCGTCATTTGCAGTCTTCGACGTTACTTGGTCCATAAAATCCATAAATTCAAAAAAATCCATAAACAATTCACGACAACTTAAGACATTATAAAGGAAATCGAAAGCAACCGACCTAAAAAAAGTTGCCGATCGCGAATTGTTCCTCAATCAATTTCCCTGGAAAAATTCCCGATTTACCGAGGTAGCGAAAAAAATTTCAGTTATTTGTGTTTCATTTTCTGTAGACAAATGTCGATTATTCCTAAAGCCACAGAAAATCGACACCAATTCGATGAAAAAGAAAAACTCTTCGAAGTTTTTATATAAATATGATCAGAACATTTCGTGCTATTTGCACAGCCACTGGCTATTCTTGTTTTAGTGTTACGTTCAAAGCCAAAAATTAAGAAATCCGAGGCTTGAATTTTTTTCTAGTTTAATGGGCAATTGTTTTTTGTAGGTTTAATGTTAATGTTTTTTTTTTCAAATTGAGATTACTGTTAGGTTTTTTTCATTTGCTTCTTGCAATTGATATAGAAGGGTTCATTTGCCTCTGTTATGACTTAGCTCGGTTTCGTGGTTCATTTTGCTGATGCAGTTGATTCATATTTGTTTGAAAACTTTTCCATTCCATTCATTTTTATAGCTATACCCCATAGCAATGGTGCAAAGTTAACGTGTGCGAAAGTATTGTTTTTGAGGCATCGTATTTCCGAAGATTCAGTGAAACCTCTGTCCCAACATTATATGTCTCCATCAAGTGAAATATTGTACATAATTTATTGCATATTGCTATATTTTGATGAGTAGTCAGAATTTATTCTTCTGTAGTTTACATTTTAGATTGTTTGGCAATAAAGAAGCGCGAATTTACTTTTGAATGAATTTGTTTTTCTGATGATTGCGTTGATCTAATCAAACTTTAGAGGACACAGATAGCGATAGGACACTCCCCTTCCACTGCAATGGGTAGGAACGGGGCTATTTTAAAAGCAAGTTTTAAGTACGGGGAGTCACAAATAAACTTCAAATGGGACAGATAAGAGTTGTGTCCTTATTGATGCGAATCGAGCTGCTAAGAAATATCTCGAAAAAGAACATTGTGCCGAGAAGCAGTTGCTTTGGATTTTAAATTTTTGATTGTTCTCTGGCTGCATCGTCAATTGCCATACACCAATTATCTTAAGTTTTTTACTTAAGTTATGCTATTCATTAAAGCCTATCAAGTAAATCTGTTGTCGGAAATTTCGGTGCTGCTTTCAAAGCAAGTTTATCTTCCCTGCGCCGTTATCTTTCAAAGCAACCTGCCAATTATTTTGATATTTTTTGGCAAGGGAGGATCTAGGATTTTCTCGATCACGTCGACAAAATTGATTTTTTTTAGGTCAACCAAATTGATTTTCTGAGCTCTCCCAAATCGATATAAAGACCCATTTTTGACCGAAAAATCGCGTTATCTCGGCACGTGCTCCCAGGGGGTCGAATTCCTGAGGGGGGAGGATGTTCACCACCACCATCACCCCCCCCCCCCCCCACTCCTAAATCCGCTGGTGGAAATTTCTTAAATTAGTTGAGATCCCACTAGCTGTTACATTACAGAGGTTTTGCGCTGTGCCCTTTATTGAAAGGTCAAGAGAACCCAGACTGGTTAGCAAACTTTTGTGCAAATAGTTTGTTGACCTTAGTCGATATGAATTTCACAATTTAACGGCAATATTTGCCCACTTATTTGGGCAAAATATTTAATTGGATCTCGCATTTATAATTGCCAGCTTAATTTATGTCTGATCTTGTAGTCAATCATTAAAGCGCTTTTCTAGAAAATTCGAGTAGTCATTCATTAAAGCGCTTTTCTAGAAAATTCGATCTTGGAGTCCCTTTTTTATGCCAGCCTTGTTAATTTTTATAAGCCATATCGGTGCCATAAATAGACCCATTTTTAAATCAAATGTAGAGACGAAATGCGCATGAAGTGTCTAAGAACCATCTTAAGAAAACATCGACCAAAAGTAGTAGGAAACTATCGATTTCGAAACAGGATAAGTTCACATTATCTGAAATGCTCTTTTGATTATATATCCGTTTCCCTATTCCGAGTGGATTTTTCTTGCAAGGAACATTTTTCCATTGAAGTTCGACTGAACATTTTGATTGAACATTTTTGCATCTATTCGGTTTTCAAGAAAAAAAAATGGCTTCCGAAGAAGAATTGATCTCATCGTAAAAAGTTACAAAACTTTAACTATCAAAAGCATTATAGTTACCGTTATTTGGAACTCAGAATGAACAGCTGACTGACCAATTGGAATGTGTATGTATAAAAAATTTATAAAAGTAACAAAAATACAACATATGTTAATCGAATTATTCATTAGTCAGCGAGCTTCGAGCCTAACAATGTATAAACTATTGGAAGCAATTTCTTTTGAATTTTAAGCTAGCTAATTTGAATGTAATAAAATTATTTTTTTTATATTAGTTTTTGGTGTCGAAAACTTGCTACTCGTAGTACCTAGAAACCGGTTGAATTACAAAAAAACTGAAACTTTTTCACATTGTGGTTCTTGCTCCTAGTTTTTGTGCCCATCGTCTAGAGACCCGGTAACTTAAATGTAATCGAATAAGGGCTTTAAAAGTCCAGTGGATGCACCACTGAGCCCGAATAGCTGTAACCAGTCAACAAGTGCAAATATGCTTTTCTAACCGCATAAAGCTGCTACAAAACCAAGTTAGTGGAAACTAAGTCAGAAGAAGAGCTTATCATGAGGATACTATCGATGCATCTTTACTCAACGAGCTTAAGCGAGCTTAGTGTATTAGTAAGAACCTACTTTTTTTCCAACCTAGCTCGCAAATAAAAGTCCTCATTTGGTGGCACTTTTGCTATAATCAAGATCTGTATCATTTGCCGTTTTCTCGCTAGTGTTTGAGAAGCACAGCTTGGCCACTATACTGTACCATTGTAATCTTCCAAACTTACTCTACCTCAAATCCAAACTGAGTCAGATCTTTATTACTTCAGATGTACGTCAGAAGTCTCGTTTACGATCAAGATCCTGAAAATTTATCAAAACATATGGGTATAAACGTGTTCTATTGCAGTACATTTAAGGGCTTAGACTGCTGTAAGTAAGTGTCGATCATTGTAATCTTGTTTTTGATATTAGGTGTTTTGAAAAGCTTCAAACTAGATCCTTGTCGGCAACGGAAAGTTCAAATTGGTACAGATAACTGAGCAAAGTTCCCCAAGTTCGGACAAAGATCTGACTAATTCGAAATGTACATGCATCTCATAAAAAAAAATGAAGAAGGCAATAATGAAGTGTGGCACATGACCATGAACAATAGTTTCTTTTGCAAAAGTAGTTCGACAATCGAACAAAAGTATGTGAGTAAAAAAATTATGGAACATGATATTTCATTGTAGAATTAATACCACGTTGTTTTCTGAGCTTCAGACGCACAAAATGTATACGATTTTAAAGAAATTTGAGAAATTAGGTGACCACAAAGATAATTACACGATGAAGCTTAACTAATAATTTACCTAACTTATTTAAGCTCTAAGAATTAGCTCAACTTAAACTGACTCATAAGTTTATCAGAGCTGATAATCTGAATACTATCATTTGAAAAATTCGTGTTTATAATCCGCATTTATAATAATTATACGAATTTATTTTGCACCCAAGTCTGAGATTTGGGTGCAATCTAGAAAACGGGTTGTGGAAAGCTCACCTGCATATGCGGCTATGACCAATTTTTTTTTTTAGAAAAACCAAATTGTTAATTTTTTTGACCGTTTTTGAAATTTTGATTTTTCGAAAACTACCCTCCGCAATCTGAGATTTTGGGTTCAATCCAAATAACGAGTTGTGTGAATCTCCACTGAAAAATCAAGTACGCCCAATTTTTTCTCGCAAAAACTATGGTTATCGCAAATGTCAATTTTTGGTTTCTTTAACGTTTTTTTTAAACTATTTGATTTTTTTTTCAAAAATTACCCTCTTAAACGTGAGTTTTTGAGTTCAATCGATATAACAGGCTGTAATATTCTCTTCTGCATGGGTGTTTACGCCCAATTTTTTTACACAACAAGCAAATCTTCTCGGAAAATTCAATTTTTTGATATTTTGACCGTTTTTTGGAAACTTTTGACTTCTCTCGAAAACTACCCTTCCAATTCTAAGGTTAAGTGTTCAAATGAGAAACCCGATTTTGGAAATTTTCTCTGCTTAAGCGGCCACGACATTCTTTTTGCAGAATTTTTTATCGATTTCTGAAAGTCAAATTTTTGGACTTTTGACCGTTTTCTGAATTTTCTTAGAAATAAACCTATCAGATCTGAGATCAAGGATGCATTCGAAAGAACCTGTTGTGAGAGTTTTTCACACAGAAGCGGCAATTTCTTAATTTTTTTGCAAAATGTTATTTTTGTGGAGATTCCGATTTCTCAAAAATTTTCTTCCACCTCTCTTATTTTAAGGTTTTGGTCCATGTCCAATTTTTGAAAATTTTCGAATTACTAATTTCAGCCCGCGTCAGTAACACAAACACGGAAAACATCAAACATGTATCTCCAGCTTTAGCGGGGTCCCTAATTATCTTTTATCGGTACATACGAAAATTTTAGTTCACTTATGCTTTTTACTATATTATGTTTTTTTTGTGGCTGGGTGTTGTATCGCAAGTGTTGCAAAGCTCCGATTCATCTCTGTGTAATTAATTCGTTAATTCCCTTTCCATCGGTTTGACAGGAGGTTTCTGCTTTGATAAATCAATTGACTCGACTCATAAATCAGTAAAATGGTAGTTTAAAATACAGAAACTCGGGTCTTAATAATTTTGACGTGCTTACGATGCTGGGATTTCACTTGCTTGGTGCCAACAGTTGTCTTCCCGCCCGCTTGTTTGTAAAATATATACGAAATTATATTTATCTCGAAAATAATGTTGACTTTTCAGATTGATTTGCCTGTTTTGTGGCTTAGTTTATGTTGGTGAGTATAGTGAGTGGTGCAGAGTGCAGCTTTGGTTCTTAGTGCAGTGTCAGTGTGAGTTCAGATTGCTGAGGGGAGGCGTGATGTATCAGTTGTTTACTTCAATGGTGGCACTCGTGCTGCTCTGCGGTGAGACTCTGGTGCTGCTCTTCAGGGCCATCATCTTCTCACTTCAAGGTGAACCAAGTGAACAGAATTTATTGAAATAATAATTGAAACTAATGTTCAATTATACCCACTGCTTGATCTAATTTGATTTTTATGTTTGATAATATTGAACGTACTATTTATATACAAGGGCAAGAACCCACATACGAGACGTTGAGTTCAAAACGGAAAAAATTTGATGTGCCCTTAAAATATTCAAATTTTCCAGAAATTGTTTTGCTTATTTCAATGTTTTGGGTCACGTTGCGGTGCTGGTTTGAAGGCTTTGGTGTTAAGGTCTGAAGATTCAAGATCATTTTATGCCTGAAATACTTCTTAAGAGAACTAAGTTTATGATCGATAAATAAACAACGTTTTGATCGATAGTGGAGAAGCAAAACGGTGAAATTGTATTGCGTTATGGTTTTAATCTCCCATCATTATGGTCGAAGCAGCTTTGGGAAAGTACGCAATATTCGCTCTTCTGACTTGTCGCCCTCTCCCGCACCGCAATTCCTTTCTTCTAACACGCCATACGTGAAATATCGACGCCACCAAAATATTCAAAGCAAAAACCTATCTGATATTTCGGGGCCCCTGGAACTTAAAACCCCAACCCCACAATAGAAAACGACTTTTTGCCCTTAAAATTAGTCTTTTTCACTATCATCCCCAGCAATCAATACTCTCGCCAAGACAACTCAAACTCCTCGCTTGTTGGCACTATAACTTTTTTGCTTCCTGCCACGAAAGGGGCTATTTTTTGGAAAATGCGAGTATGGGGAAAAGACAAATATCCCGAATTTTTGATTCGACCTAAGGCCCTCTGGAATGCGGCACCGCCCTGTTTCTGAGAGCCGATTTGTGGGTGAGTTTGTTTCCCTTCCTTGTTTTTATTAGAATTTGTTTAAGCTAAATCCGATTTTTCTGAGTCAATGTTTTCAATCGGGTTTCCGTTTTCTTTCCGGGCTCTTTGTCAGTTTCCCACGCCCTTGGTATAACTGCAAGCAAAAGCTGCTTAAAACATTATTAGTACAGTAATTTGCAAGAAAGCAAATTTGTTTCAATCAGTTTGCAAGCTGAAAAAGTTTAAGTTTTTTCAGTTATGTCTTTGGAGGGCAAAGGAAAAGATCCTTTTTCCGCTTCTATTTGTAAATTACATGACGTGTTTGTTAGCTCTACTGAACAACTGGATTTTGCCATCGAATGCGATAGAGGAGGACTATTTGAAGGGTCAGAAAGTGCTGCTCACTGGCTCGGCAGGAGGTGTGGGGTCAGCTCTGGCTGAGAAACTGGTGGAGCATGGCGCATTCCTCATCCTCGTCGACAGAGAGTACGAGCGAAACAGACTCATCTCCAAACAGGTTCGGCCCCTCTAACCTCTTTAATTCGACAGCAGCACGGTGAAATGATAACAAGTGAAACAAATCTCAGGATTTCTTAAAAAAAGTTCTAAAAATAGACAAGTTTTCTATGTTGCAAATATGAAGTATTACCCAAAAATGTACTGATTGCTAGTTTTGAGATAATTTCTAGTGTGCTTTGAAAGTTAATTCAATGCCGTCATTTTGCTTCGTAGACTAAAAGTGTAAAACAGCTGAAAAAACTTTTTTTTTGTTTATTTAGGTAAAGAGCAAGGGCGGCAAGTGTGTGAGCTATGTGTGCGATATCTCCCAGCGCAAAGATGTAATGGAGCTCATTGACGGCATCAGAAGGGTGAGTCGAAACAAAGTTAGAATTGTGCTCACATGCATAAGTATGAACCATAGACAGCAATCGCATTTTACGTAGACCGTAGGAAACGTATTTTCAGTAAAAAGCCACAGGGACTGGAAAAGGGACTTTCATAATGCTGGAATTTCAGTACCAGCCGGACCTTATTTTTTGCGATATAGATGGAAATTTGAAGTTGTTTTTGGGAGAACTTAAGTTGTCGGACTATCGTTGTTTATTTTTCGATAAGAGATAGTGTTTTTTCCAAAGCATAGACGTTTCTTCTGATTTAATCAAAGTGGTTACGTAGCAGTATTTAGACAACCGCGTATTCAGACTCGTCAGTAAGTAGACAAATACTGTATGGGCCAATCAGAATCGAGACAAGGAAGAAATGAATAATTAATAATTATTTATTTCGTAAATTTGCTTTCCGATCTCGATTCTGATTGGTTAATATGGTATTTGTCTGCTTACTGACGAGTATGAGTACGCGGTTGTCTAAATACAGACCGCACTTCAATCAAATTTTACTGCAAATGAAAGTCGTTCTCTAATTTGGAAATTTACCAGCTCTGACTTAGTATATTTTATAGTTTGTTTTGCCTTAATAGTTTCGGCTTATGTTACACCTGCTTATTCACCTTATATTGCGTCGTTTAAAGCGAAATTTTTTAAGAGTAGTTCAGACTCTTATTTAGGTTGTGATGATTTTTGTTTTTTTTTTCAGGAAAAGTCTCTAAATGCTCTAATAAAAGAAGTGCATTCATACTCATAAATGCAAATGAATGCACTTAGGTATATGTGCACTTTTTGAGTTCAATTCAAGTTGATTTGCTAGAAGTTAGGCAAAATGAACTCTCCAATTATGAAAGGCGCGAAAAAACATAATCGATTTCCAGTATCGAAAGTAAAATTTAATTTCCCAGCGGAATAAAATTTTTCCAAATAATCGTTTTCTCAAATTGGGTTAACTTTATCAAAAAGTGCTCTTGATAAATTGCTCTTGAAATTCAGAGAGCTCTAAGGACATACATTTTTCTGTTTGAAATTCGAATGTTGAAGTTTTTTCAAAAAAAAAACAAGTCCATTTTTTTTCTGTTCCTTATCGTTCATTGACTCTTTGCCATCCGTCTGTTGGCTGTTTTCGTGATTTCTACCCAAATACTTTTTCAACTTTTGCCATTCGCTGATGTTTTTGGCTCTTTTTACTCCCCCCCCCCCCCCTCCACCTCACTTAAACATGAATTTTATGGTCTAACGAGTGGTTTTACAAGGTAAGTTATGAAGACCAAATATGTTTGTCATGGCCTAATTAGTCTGCTTGTCAATTTTCATAACAATCGAACAAAGTGAACAGTAACTTCAAGTATAAAAATTTGGAGGTGGGCGAAAAGGAAAAAGAGCCATGATTTTGAATACTTATTATCACTAGTGGTTGTGTTTGTTGACATGTGTTCCTCATCTCGCAATGCTGTGCTCGTTTTGTATAGCCTCCGTGTTAAAACTAGAATTTCCGGACGATAGAAGCTAAGTTTTTTAATTCATTGAAGAGCTGCTGGAATTAATTTGTTTTGACTTCTAGTGAAATAAATGATTGATTTTTTAGTTTCATTTTCACAATAAATTTTTAAGACACAGGAAACTAATCAGCTTATCTGGTTTCATTTTTGAATTTTTTCGAAAAATTCGTTCAACTTAAAACGGTTTTTTCGAAAAAATTTTAAACATCCGCCTTGGATACAGGAAAAGAATTGTTATTAAATCAATTTTCGAAGCTTTTTGTTTCAATCATTTAACTCTGTGTTTGTGTGTAGGATGTGGGAACAGTAGACATGATAATAAACAATGCGGGTGTGGTGGACGGGGAGCTGATAACGGATCTGAATGAAAATGTGTTTCTGAAGACTTTCCAGGTCAACGTTCTCTCGCACTTCTGGCTCATCAAAGCATTCCTGCCAGGTCAGTCCGGTCTTGCACTGTCTCTTTTCAATCTCAGCTGAAAAAAACCGGCTGCATTGTTTGAGCGAATTATCATATCAAACTTACTTCAGTTTTGGTTCGAAGCTCAAAGAAAAGTTATGTGTGGAGAAAAAGGTGGAATTTTTGATGGTTAATTTAGAGCGAAGAGATATATATTTTAAGTTTTTTATTTATTCGTTCGAGTGGCGAAATAACACACTCCAACCACGGCAACCCGCTATTCTTTACTTTTTTCGGGGAAAATTCTTAAAAGTTGATCACTTTTGATTTTTCGCGATTTGACTTTTGATTAAGAACCGATAAACGTAGATATTTAGGTGATCTAATGTATTCTATGAAATCGAACAAAGGAAATATTTCAGAAAATCAATAAGCTTAATTTTTGCTTTTCTAACCGTCTTTTAGCGATGTTTGATTTGCGTTATCACAAGACGAGAAGAAGAAAAGCCAACTTTTTTGTATAGATTTTCAAACAACTAGATTTCAGTAACTTGCAATTGCTGGGTAAAAAACGAAGTCAGCTCATCTACTTAAGATCTGTTTCAGTTTTAGGTAGATTTTAGAATAATCGCATAATTTAAGTTTTAACAAAATTGAGTTCCATTCGTTTTGTAATTTGTACAAATGTTTTTGTAATTGTTACTACTTAAGCTAATTTTTTTTTCAGTTTCCAGATCGGTCTGTTTCAGTTTCAATAAAATTCAAGTATTGCAACAGACTTTGTAATGAGATAAATATCTTATAACTGTAACGTTACTGAATCAGCCTTAGAGCAGAGCTGATTTTTTGGAAATCAGAGATGAGTTTAACTGAACAAATTGGGCAAAAAATGGGTCGCCAAGTTTTGAACCATCTACTTATGCTCCGAAATTACCCATATACATCCCCTGCGCCTTATTCACTTACTTTCAAACGCGCTAAGGATACCAAATCAGATGAGAATGTATATTTATATCAAAGGGTAAACTTGAAAAAGTGCGCTACGTTTTTTTTTCAATTTAATGAACGTATTGAAGACTCATGTTAGTCGCGATAATTTTTTTCGATTTTTTTTCAGGAAAAAGTCTTAAAATTTGTTCACGCTCAATTTTGACTTTTCACGGCTTGACTTTGTATTTTTTTTTTCAATTCCAGTTCAATTCCATTATAAAAAGTAGGCAAAATCCTTTATCGACTAGCAAAATGTACAGTTCTCTACAAACGTGATCGACTTCTAGCTTCGAAAGTGGAATTTAATTATCGAATTCCCCAGCGAATTCGATTGATGAAAATTTCACCTACTGATCCAGTTTTCTCACATAGGGTCAGTTTAATCATAAAAGTGCCAGCCATAAATTGTTTTAGAAATTCGAAGAGTTTAAAGTGTATTTTTTTTCTGTTTTCTTGCGTTCCTTGACTCTTTTCTAATTGTCTGTTGGCTTTGTTTTATTTTTATCAATTTCAGCTTGATATGAATAGTCTTGTTGTTTTGAAGAATTTGAGTTTATTTTCGAAGAATTTAAGGAATATATATGCTAGGGGTGGTTTTTTCATATCAATTTTCAAAAGGATCGGTCTCACTTGATCTTCTTGTTCTTAGAAAGGTCGTGCTCACTACCATACTAACCTAAGTTTATGGTCCCAGTGAAATGAGTTCAAGTAAACTGCTCGTTTTATACCTTGATGTTGTACGCGGGGTGAATTATCCCGCACCACAAAAGCGTTTCAACTTGCATTGAGGCTTGGCTAATTGGTCTTAGTAATTCCAGGCAGACTTAAGTTATAACTTTTAAATTTTGATGTGATCAGCCTACAATTCATAATTTTGCCAATACTAAATTTATCAAACTGATGTTTGTTCATTTAATCGCGATAGTCGGAATTAACCCACAATTATTTCACTCGCGAAGTAAATTAAAACACCCTGTGAGGAGCAGGACACGGTTTTTTTGAGCTAATTTCATCAAAAAGTTGTTTTATTCTAAATTGTTATCAAAATTCGGCGATCTTCAACGGCATAGATTTTTTCTTTAAATTTCGAAAGTTGAAGTTTTTTCAAAAAACAAGTTTTTTTTTATGTTTTCGTGTGTTCCTTCTGCTTATTGAACTGCTCAGATGGCTATGTTTGTGATTTTACGCTGCGAAATTGATGATAAAACTGATTAATTCAAAAAACCTAAATGACCCATTTTTGGGTAAAATTTTGGTTGCGAATTTTGGGTGATTTTGGTAAGTTCTAAGCAATTTTTGTTCTCTACACTTTTTGTCCAATCGTGACCCAAATTTTTAAAAACGCGTATAAAGTTTCCAGTGGTTTTTTGTTTTGTGCGGTTAATTTAAATTAGCACTTTTTTTAAGTAATGCTGCCGATAAACTTTGCGATGTCAATCAGGGTCGTCCTTTCATCCTTTTGATTGCATTTCATAAAAAAAATCAAGGCCATGTGCTCTATTTGTTTTTTCACAAGTTGTTCGTATTTAAGAAGACAATGTGCTTCTCTATTTTATGGTTTTGTTATTGCAGACATGATAGCGAGGAAGAGTGGCCACATAGTGACCGTAGGCAGTGTGGTGTCGCAACTTGCAGTGGCCCAGCTGCCTGCCTATTGCACGAGCAAGGCAGCCGCAGGGGCACTTCTGGAGGCAGTATCCACTGATTTGCACCGGATGGGGGGCAACAGGGGCATCTACACTACTCTAATTTGTCCCGGACACATCGACACGGAGATGTTCCGCAATGTCTTCATTCGTTTTCCCTCCCTCACCCCCACATGGAGTGCAGACAGAGCTGCTCAAGGTAGTGATGTCACACAAATTTGAGACGACTTCTGTGATTGGTGCATTCTTTGATCATACAGTTACCAGAGTAGAGATAGAACCAGAACGCGTGTCCCTATGTAACAATCACATAAAAAAGAAATTGTTCAAAGCTTACTTATCACAGTTGGCACTGATTCGTAGTGTGATTTGTAAACATTGAAGTGTTTTCTTTAAATAGCCGTTGTGAAATCAAAGTTTGAACACTTTGGAGCTGGAAACGATGAGTTTCAGTTGGGTTGTTGTGTTGCAGGAATCATAGATGCGATTAGGAGAAAGCAGCCGGTGGCCTACTTGCCCCGCAGATACTTCTTCGCAGTGGTGTTGAAGCACTTCCTCCCCACCAAAGTCTACTGGCTCATGCACAACTTCCTCAAGACACACCACGGCATGGACACGTTCGAGGGAAAGAAGCTCATATGACGCCAGTTAGCAGACCTCGCGACACAACACAATCAGAATGTTGTAGAAATCAGTCATAGTTTAAGCAGTACTTTTCTATTTAAGCTTTTCTCGTGACAGAGGGGCCCAATGGCAGATAATATCCAAAGATTTAACATCTTTCAAATTGTTGGAAACTTTTTTGCTTTTTTGTTACTTAGTTGGTTACTGAATTGAGCTTTTTTTTCCATTTAGTCCGTCTGTCATAAGGGACATTACCTTTTCTGTTACGCCTTCACTCGGTGCTATTCAATATCCATCCTATTCTATAAAAGAAATTATATTTTTGCTTAGTTTATTTTGTACAGAAACAGCAGATTTTAAAGTCTGAGAATCAAGAAACAGGAATCGATCTTTGGAAATTCAATTAACTATTTCTACCAGAATACAGTTGCTGGTTAAAAACCACAAAATTTTGTGAGCGTTGTGTTATACGAACACGCAAATTTTATTTCAAAACTTCGTGAAAAGTGAATCGAAATAATAGTTAATGAGAAAAATTTTACCCATTTGAAGATAATAACGCCCTGAGCTCAAATGCACAACAAAATGATCACCAGCTAAATACGTTTTTTCATTTCGATTTCAGCTCAGGGCGTTAATATCTTCAAGAATGCATAAAATTTTGGTTGGAAAAAAAAGAAGACTAATCGTTTATTACTACGCGATCATTAGTCAAAACAAAAACTATGAAAGATGTTTCCGACTTTTTCCGAAAAAGATTTACTGCAAATGGTCACCAGTTTAATATCTTTCATAAGAATTTTAGGAAAAAATTTTTAAAGTAACTCACCCTCAATTTGAATAAAAAATTACCTATTGATTTTCTCTACATGGGAAAACAATGCCAATATTAAAGAGTATTTGAAATTCAAAAAGCCTCAATGTGATATGTTTTTTTCTTTGAAAATGAAAAAAGTTTAAAATTTTAATTCGACTTTTTTTCGGCATTCCTAGTGGAAAAAAATTCTAATGCATGCAGTTTTCTCTAAATGGGATGATTTTATTTCAAAAAATGCCAATCATAAGCAATTCTTGAATCTCGCAGAGTTGTTTTGTGATGTATTTTTTATTCGAAAGTTGATAAATGTTCAAACATTTCCAATCAACCATTTTCGGTTCACTCTTTTTTTTGCACTTTTCCAGCTGTTTGTTGGCTAAGTTTTGATTGGCAGAATTTTTAACCAATAAATGACTAAAATGTTTGTTCATTGTTTAAATAGCATGAATTCAAACGGCAAAATACAAAATAAGAACCCATTCATTACTTAGTTTTTCTAGTGGGACTAATTTTTGTTCTTGGGACCTATGGAAATGCATCGGTACAGATTGAGTGCATCAATTCGAAAGTACGAAAAAGCATTTGATGATTGCAGTTACGATATGCCGCAGTTACGATATGCAGTATTCATAGTAGGAACCCTTTTTCAGGAAACAACTTTAAAGCTCAAGTTTTTCAAAAACTTTCAATTGACCATGGGAGTTAACCCAATTTTTGTGGACTTAGTTGCCGCTCAGTACTTGGTTCTGAATATTGATTTCAAGCCTTTGATTTTTTTTTGTTTTCCTCAATCTGAACATCCTTTGATACAAATTATGAATTTTTTGTAATTGTGGATTTTGACATTTTCAGTGTTTTCTACTTTAAGTGCTTTTCGTTCCATTTTTGTCTGCAAGCCTGCAATGCCGTCTGTGTGGTATAGAAAGTTGCACGATGCTCTGCTTCGGCTCTGTGTACAAGTGTGTTTATACTTTCCTCCATGGGTTTTGAACGTAAGATGCGTTTTCGCATTTTTTTTATTTAAAAGTGCCGAATGTAAAACATGAAATTGATTTGGTTCCGATACATTTGAAATTGTTGTTTATTTGTTGGAAGTTTTTGTATACGTCTTAACTTCAATTCAGTGGTAATTTTACTATTCCGTCGATTTTTTTGTCTTATGGAGTTCTCAATCAAATTAGTGCTCAAAGAACAGAAGTTTTTTGTTTTTCAGTTTTGTGATCTGATTTACGTTGATTGCGGTAATTTTTTGACGTTTTCTCAGCAACAGATTGCTAAGTTGCCATCTTATAAATGTTAAAAAAGATCTAAAAAGTGTTGTATTTGCGCCATAGAGAGGTAACGCTAATTTGATTGGTTATTGTGGGAAAGTCTTTCACACTGGTCTCGTGGTTTGCGAATGCAAAAATTTCAATTTTATTACAGACTTATACTTTTTCTACCAATTATGGGTAAGTTTTTTTGAAAAATTGATAGCATCAACTACTTTCTAAGTTTCGGAATCCGTTTGGCGTGCTGTTCAAACATTTTTTTCAGAGAACTTTTCAAACGACCCTTAATCTTGGAACTGATTGAACATCTAGTGGAAAACTTATATTGGTATTTTAGTGTGGGGTTTACGTTACTAGATCTTACAAAAGCATTTGACACAGTTGATGACAAAATTTTATCAGAAAAATGCTAATTATATATTTTACGAGGAAATTTGTTAATCTTTTAAAATCATTGAGAATCGTACACTCAATTCTGGATATTCCTGGGTTCTTTGTTGTTATTGCTTTATATAAATGATTTGCCGAACGTCTGTAGGCAGAATAAAATAGTACTGTTTCCTGATGGTTTCGCATTGTATACAACAACTAAAACTGGAAACCAACAGCAGGTAACATTGATGTGAGCCAAGTTAAAAATTGGTTCTTAGAGATCAAGCTTACCATTATCATTGATAAAACAGCCAACTTTGAATTTAACAGGAAGAACGTTTCGATTAACAGATCCCATAACTGAGTTCGAAAATTGAGATCTTGTAATTGATGAAAAATTTAATTTCAAAACAAATATCGAGAAAACTTTGAAAAGGGTTGCTAAGTTTGCTCGGTGATGTACCAACTAAGATATATTTTAACACATCTCCACTGCTCAGGATATACTTAAAATAGATCGAACCATTATAGCAATATAGTGTGCTGATCAATTACACAGCTAATACGCCAGACTTAAAAATTGGCAATCCAGGAAATACTCGTGTGGAGGAATTGTGTTAAACTTATAAAAATGGTAAAATCTGAAAAATTCGGGATAAACATAATTTTGTCTGGTTCGAGAGTGACATGTATCTGAGCTGTTTTAACTCATGTTTGAAAGTTTAAGACGATCTTGTCGAAACAAAAATATTGCATGAATAAAAAGTGAACAAGAGATAACAGATACTATTAACATAGAAAATACAAGAAAAAATTTCGCTACCAAAATAAGCTTACTAGAGCAAAAGAGAGTCGAAATTAGGGTTCGTTTTTTATATAATAAGTTTTTACAATGGAATAAAGACATTTTTCATGAAGCGCTGACAATCAACAATAACTCCTTGGACTCGTTTTTTCATAAAATAAGAGACATCTATATTTTTGATAACGAACATTTTTCAAGTACATTATTGATAATTTTCATCCCTTTGATATAATTTTTTGGTCATTTAATTTTGATTGTTAAACAACACCTTAAAAATAAATTTTGAGATGGTTCTCAGTTTCTTTTCTTCTTTCTTAGTTGTTGATGATTTGAAGAATTTTTGCGGTCCTTTTTGAGTATTATATGATCTATTTTTACAAAAGTTAGAAGAATAGATTTTGCCCATGGAGATGCCACCCGGCTGATGCATATTTGCTATTGTTCCAAGCCGCAATAAATTTTAAACGTACAATTTCATAGAATGTATGGTTATAAGCTTCTGGCTTGAAAATCAAATTATATAAACAATCTGCTTGTTTTTCTATAATTTGGAGCTGTTATATATCAATCATTTTGTTTAGAAAAGGTTTTTAGTTGAATCGCTTACTTCAAAAATAAATTTAACAATAAACATCATTCAAATTTCAGATTTTTTGCATCCAGAATTGGAAGTTTTTACTTTGGCTCTTCATCCGGAAGGAATCGAAAAAGGCTATAAAGAGAGATCAAATAAACTATAAGCAGCTGAACCGTGTGTTTTGCGAAGTGAAAGAGGAAAAGAGTGATGGCTGCTCCACAACATGAGGCGCCTGTTGGCATGGACAGGTACGAGTCTTTTCTATAATGCGACCTAATCACCCTCAAATTTGGTTCATCCTCAATTTTGACTTTTTGCGGTCTGATTTCTGTTTAAGTTCACTTTAATTAATTTGTTAAATAAAGGCAAACTCTACTATCTAACAGTAAAAGTGAAAAGGTCGCGAAAAACGTTAATTACTTCTAGTTTAAAAAATGGGTTCTAATTTTCTAAATTCCAGCGGAATATCTAGCTTTCACTAGATAGGATAACTTGACAAAAAGTTTGCCGATGTTTTTTTTTGAAATTTGAATAATAATCGATAAGTTTTCAATCAACTTTTTTCCGCTTTCCTTGTTCTGTCTCACTTTTCCAGCTATCATTTAGCTATGGTACGTTTTCGGATGAGTTTAGCAGAATTGAACATGTACCTTTAGGTATGACTACTTTGCACTGAATGAGCAGCAGCAGGAGAAACTGAATGAGCACAAGGTGGCCACCAGAATTGCAAACGAGCACTACCTCAGACAGCACCCAGAATTAGACTGTCTCCTCAAGAAACTCATCAACGTCAGTACAATAAAGTCTCTATTTAGATTGAAGAGTTGCAGAAAGTTCAATAGACAGGGTTTTTATAGTAGAATCAACTTAACAGTCTCCTTCTATGGTATATACTAAGAATCTCCACTCCTCTGAATAGAAACAGTCAATAAGAGCTAAGAGGTTCCATTGGAAATTCTACGTTTGCTGCACTCTGATTTGTCCAATATTAGCTGATTAAATCTAATTAACAATCTCACCCTCCTTCTTGAAAGGGAGAAAAAAGGTTGTTAATTAGAGCCAAAAAGAGTCGAAGACAAACTTATATTGAAAACCAATTGGCTCATATCTGATTATTTTGCATGTAGAGGATAATTTTTTAGACTCAGTTCAAGTCTCATAGATTTGCCTGAAGATGCTATATGCGCTAAATTTCTGATAACCGTCTGAACGGATTGAGTAAAACAGAGAGTCAGAAGTGAAACGATATGACGTTTTAGGTTTTAGGATAACTCAAGAAACTAAACGTGTAAAAGCGAAGCTGTGAAAATCACTGACTAAAATTGTTGAGGGATTCTTTACCAAAAACCTTTCAACGTAAAAAATGCTCAGGGTTTGGCCTCTTAATGTACCTTTTCAACCGAAGTCACACAAATTTGTGTTTAATTTCAAATGTCTGAATATCAGTATTTGTTTTTATCTGATTTTTAAAATCTATCTGTCTATCTATTATATATTTTAATGCGGCGTCACTATCTTGCCATGTTTAAGGTTTTTCAAGGTAATATTTTTGCATGTTTAACAAAGCATTTACCGACGTTTAGCTATATCGTATATTGCAGTGCTTAAGAAATTTTTTCGATTTTCCAATTTGATTTTGTGTTTATTTCAGCAAGTTTGAAATTAGCAACTTATAGTGGGATCTGTCAGGGTTCCCCCAGGGGTTGCGAATTTGGC